GTGGTCGGGAGGAGCGTCATGGAGACCTCGGTTTTTGGGTCGATCTCCCTGAGTTTTCTGGTACGTTACAGGCCGAGGGATTCGTGGATTGGATTAATGAAGTGGAGCGTATTTTTGAATATAAGGAAGTCCCCGATCGTGTGAAAGTGAAACTGATCGCCATCAAACTCAAGGGCAGAGCATCTGCGTGGTGGGAACAGTTACGACGTTCACGAGAAAGACAGGGCAAAGCCAAGATCACTGATTGGGAGAAGATGAAAAAGAAGATGAAGGGCCACTTCCTTCCCTTCGGCTACACGCAAACCTTATTTCAGCGACTTCATGCGTTGAGGCAGGGTGCGCGATCAGTCGATGATTACACGGAGGAGTTTTACCAATTGGTCACCCGGAACGATTTATTTGAGACGGAAGAGCAGATGGTGGCGCGATATTTGGGGGGTTTACGCAAGCCCTTGCAAGATGTCCTCAGCCTTCATTCATTGTGGAGTGTTTCAGAAGCATACCAGCGTGCACTTGCTGTTGAAAAACAACAAAACAGGAGACCAGTGATCAGGAGCGATCACAACAGTCAACCAGTTCGCCCTCAAGAGTCTCGTCCTGCTCAGCAGCCACCGCAGGGTAATTCTAACCCTACTATTAGATGTTTTTGTTGTGGTGAACAAGGGCATAGGGCGACTGATTGCAGGAAGCCTGCTAGTCAAAAGGGTAAAAATTTGTTGATTGAGGAAAACGTGGAAGACGAGACTGAGGAGATTGGCGAACCCGTGTATGACGATGATGAGACTGATGATGTGCTGTATGGAGATGGTCATGAGACTCTGGTCGTTCGCAAGAGTCTACTTACCCCCAAGGGCGATTCAGGGGACGATTGGTTGAGAACCAATATTTTCCACACGACTTGCACAGTTGCAGATAAAGTCTGCAAAATGATCATTGACAGCGGCAGTTTTGAGAATGTAGTGTCCGAGGAGGTTGTCCAGAAATTGCAGTTGAAGACGGACCGTCATCCTAAGCCATACAAGTTGTCATGGCTAAATAAAGACAGTGAGGTAACAGTTGATAGGCGATGCCTCGTGTCTTTTTCAATTGGTAGAAAATATTTTGATAATGCCTGGTGTGATGTTGTGTCTATGGATGCGTGTCATATATTGTTGGGTCGACCTTGGCAGTATGATCGCAGTGTCATTCATGATAGACGAAAGAATACATATTCCCTTAGCATCAAGGGAAAAAAGATTGTGTTGGCACCCCGGCGGGAAGGACTTACTCCTACCCCAGTAACCCATAATACTAATCTGCTTTCTATGTCCAGGTTTTTAGATGAGATTGAGCATGGCGGCGTGGTCTATGCCTTGCTACCTTGCGAGAACAATGCAGTAGACGTGGATACAGATTTACCAGTAGAGGTGCAGCGGCTGCTAGCAGAATTCTCTAACTTGATGCCAGAGGATCTTCCTCCTGGACTACCACCTATGAGGGATATTCAGCATCAAATTGACCTTGTTCCTGGGTCAAGTTTGCCAAATCGACCAGCATATCGCCTCAGTCCCAAGGAGGCCAAAGAGTTGCAGCGACAGGTGGAAGAGTTGTTGGAGAGGGGCTATATCCGAGAGAGTATGAGCCCATGTGCAGTCCCTGCTCTGTTAGTGCCAAAAAAAGATGGTTCTTGGCGTATGTGTGTTGACAGCCGAGCGATAAACAGAATTACAGTGAAGTACCGGTTTCCAATTCCCCGTCTAGATGATATGTTGGATCAGCTATCTGGTTCTAAGATCTTCTCAAAAATTGACCTTAAGAGCGGTTACCACCAAATCAGAATAAGGCCTGGAGATGAGTGGAAGACGGCGTTTAAAACGCCACAAGGGTTGTATGAGTGGATGGTCATGCCTTTTGGGTTATCCAATGCGCCCAGTACATTCATGAGATTTATGCATCAGGTCTTGCGGCCTTTTATGGGGAAATTTGTTGTAGTTTACTTCGATGATATCCTCGTTTATAGTCCGACATGGACTTCACACTTCGATCACCTCCGTGCTGTTTTTGAGATGCTGAAAACGGAGTGCTTGTTTGTCAATCAAAAGAAGTGTTCTTTCTTCACTACTTCTGTGACTTTTCTTGGTTTTGTTGTGTCTACTGATGGTGTTCATGCAGATCAGTCAAAGATAGATGCAGTCTTGGAGTGGCCCAGACCAAGAACCTTACATGACATCCGAAGTTTCCATGGCTTGGCGTCTTTTTACCGTCGATTCATTAGAAATTTCAGTACTCTGATCGCCCCTATCACAGAGTGCCTCAAGGGGCGTGATTTCCAGTGGTCTGAGGAGGCAGAGGCCAGTTTTCAACTGGTCAAGCAGAAGATGACCGAGGCTCCAGTTTTGGCACTTCCAGATTTTGACAAAGTGTTCGAGGTAAATTGTGATGCATCTGGCGTTGGCATTGGTGGTGTTTTGAGTCAGGCAGGTCCTCCGGTTGCTTTTTTCAGTGAGAAGCTATCGGGATCAAAGAAAAATTATTCCACTTATGATCTGGAGTTCTATGCCATAGTTCAGTCCCTGAAGCATTGGCGTCACTACCTAGTACAGAAGGAGTTTATTTTGTTTACCGATCATGAGGCCTTGAAGTACATCAATGGCCAACACAAGCTGAGTAGACGTCATGCCAAGTGGGTAGCATACTTGCAAGAATTCACTTTTACGCTGAGGCACCAAGCAGGGAGTTTGAACCGCGTCGCAGATGCCCTGAGCCGTCGTACCTTACTTCTCACCACCATAAGTACTAAAGTTGCCGGATTTGAGACGTTCACAGATATGTATGCAGCTGATCCTTCCTTTGGAAGGATATTTCAGGAGGTAACTGAGGGTCACCGTCATGATTTTGTTTTGCATAATGGGTATCTGTTTCGTGGATTACAATTGTGCATTCCAGATTGTTCATTGAGGCAGCAAATTATAAGTGAACTCCATAATGAGGGACACTTTGGCCGAGATAAGACATTGGCCCTTATCTCTTCTAAATTTTATTGGCCCAAGTTGACTAGTGATGTGGCCCATTATGTGGACCGTTGTTATGTGTGCCAGGGGTCTAAGGGAGTTCTCACCAATGCGGGATTGTACACTCCCTTACCTGTTCCTGAAGCTCCTTGGTTCGATGTCAGCATGGATTTTGTACTAGGCTTACCCCGCACCCAAAGGGCCTCTGATTCTATCTTTGTTGTGGTTGACAGGTTTTCCAAGATGGCTCATTTTGTAGCTTGCAGAAAGACTATGGATGCTGACCGGATTGCCCATCTCTATTTCAAGGAGATTGTACGTTTACATGGTGTTCCTCGATCCATCACTTCAGATCGTGATACTAAGTTCATCAGTCATTTCTGGAAGAGCCTGTGGGGGAAACTGGGAACGCAATTGAATTTCAGTAGCGCCTACCACCCCCAGACGGATGGCCAGACTGAGGTGGTGAACCGAAGTTTGGGAAACCTTTTAAGGTGTTTGGAAGGAACGAAGCCGAAGCAGTGGGATTTGGCATTGCCTTAGGCAGAATTTGCCTACAACAGATCAAAAAACAGAACCACAGGTTTAAGCCCATTTGAGATTGTCTATGGTCAGAACCCATCCGGGGTGTTGGACTTAGCCCCTATTCCACGTATAGGACGTTTCAGTCCTAAAGCAGATGAGATGGAAAAGTATCTTCGGGGTATCCATGAGCAGGTGAAACAGACCATTCATGAGAGCAATACCAAGTACAAGACTCGGGTCGATAATCATCGTCGTCAGGTACTTTTTGATGTTGGTGATTTTGTTTGGGCTGTATTAACTCGTGATCATTTTCCTGTTGGTGAGTATAATAAGCTTAAGGATCGCAAGATTGGACCTTGTGAGGTCGTGCAGAAGATCAATGATAATGCTTACAGGTTGCGACTTCCCAATCACTTGAAGACTTCTGATGTCTTTAATGTGAAGCACCTGAGTCATTGTTTTGTGGATCCTGATGACACTACTCTGAACTCGAGGACGAGTTCTTTTCAACCCGGGGTGACTGATGCAGGGGGATCCGAGACAGATGATGCTGAGCTGTCAGATTTCACGTTGATGGCGCTGAGATACCATGAGTTGGCAGATCAGCGCAAAGGCGGGAATTGATTGTGACATGTTCCTCATTGGGGTCGTTTTGAGTATGTTTCAGTCTTTTGGCCATAACTTTGGCTACAGGTGTCAGAATCGCGCATAAGACCCCAATCCGGAAAGCTCTTTTCGACGCGCACGCTCTCCACGTTGAGCTATGCTCCATGTGGCCTTTTTTTCAACCTCAAATTCCGCCGTTTTCCCCTCCGAATCACTAGATTTAGATATTTTTTTACTATTTATGGTAATATTTCGATTGTCAATTAGGAAGTCAATTTAAATCCGATTTAGGCCGGATTTTTGGGAGATTGCTTATTTTATTTCGAATTTCAATTTAGAGTGATTTTCGGGATTTTGCTATTTTTGGCAAAATTCGAATAAAGACGATTTTTTTGCTATAACAGTCCGACTTGTGGACTGCTTTTTGGGATCGTTTTTGATTTTATAATATTTTATTAAACCCTAGAGACTTTTTTTCTCTGGTTTTTGGGCGAATTTTCTCTTGTGAATCGTCTGTCGGAGCTAGCCTACAGGATAATCACTATTTTGTCTGGCGTCAGTTGTTGGTGTTGATTGCGAGATCCTTGCGTCGGAGAACTCGGGCTGTTGGAGTGTGGCCGTGAAGACCGAAGGCACGGGTGAGGAAGAGTCCTCGTAGGAAACGACGTTGGCTTGGATGAGATGGGATTAGGGTTTCTGTTGGGTCTGGGTTGCTTGGGTTTTGGTTGCTGGGCCTTGTCCCTGATTTGTTGGTCTTGGACCTGTACACAAATATGTTAAATTGTAAATAAACATATATGATTTATAATATCATATAATAATATTTTATATATATATATGTTATAATTTGGACGGACGAAATTAAGTGTCGTCAGTTGCAAATGGCAATTTGTCAGCTGATCCATGGGGGTATATCTGCAAAATTTAACCATTGTAATGATAAGAAACCAAACCAATAGAGAAGAAATAAGCTGATGTCATCTTGAAGTGCCAATAAGTTGAAGGAAAACTTACAGTATGTAAATGTGGTCCAGTGACATCAACACCACCAAGTACTAAAGCAGCTGAAACCTGACCTTGATAGCTGGAGTACAAATTGCAAAGCAGTTAGAAACACATGCTTCCCATAGACCACGTACAGGTATGTAGTTGGTCGAAGAATATCAAAAACAGCATAAAACTTTACTTGAAAAGGTGTTTATTAAGAAGGGTGAGTGCTGTAACAACCCTGGACTCTCTACCAGTGTGATAGTGATGTAACTGGAGCTGTGAGCTGACCATGTCTGGGGATATGTACAAGATCATGACAATGGGTTAGCTACAGTAACATGAGGCTGTAAATATAACATTTTACAACCGAGCTGTTCAAACATGATAATTGAATAAACTACCGATGTTCGCAGAACCATACGAAAAACCAATTTCAGAAAGTAGCGGTCACTGCCTCTGTGTCAGCAGCAGTTCCAGCTCCACGACAGTATGTTTGGTGCCGTGTAATGAATATTCGCACAATTCTTATCACAAACTATAGGTCCTTCAGTTGCTCTTGTGTCTGCCCCGAGAATAACACCATCCTACGGAAAATTTCAAGTGAGAACGATGGCATTGCCTTATCAGAATTAGACCATCCTATGCAAACGGTCTGCATATTTATATCCCACATGATTGAAGATGAAATAAAAGATAGGACAATTGAGAAGTTGACAACACAATGATACCATTTCTAGCTATTTTCAAGTTCTGCTGCATGTATTAACCTACAACTCTATTCGATTCACCATTTGTTTGCAAGGACAACTATCTTGAACTTAAAGTCATGGCAGCGAAGACACAAATAGCCAAAAACCGAAATACAGTATCTAAATAATAAACTAAAAACAAATTAAAAGCCAAATTGGATTCTAAGTTATACACTAAAATCAGGTAATAATACAAGTTTTCTTGGTAAAACGAACAAAAAGATTAAAACCCAGAATTAGTTTATTCCCCAAACCTGGAAGATCAAGCCAACAATTGTGGTACCAGTTTTCATAATAGATGGTGGATTAACGCCTTTCTTCGCAAGCATCTCGTTTCTTTTACAAAGATCGAAGCTAAACCCGCCTTTTGGAGGCATTTCGATCATCAATTTCGACATTTAAAAAAAAAAATCTCTAAAATCGATTGATAATTTGAGCTAAAAATAAAGGAATAGATTGAAAATTGAATACAATTTAGGCCTAATTAGAAAAAAAAGTAGGCAAACAAACATTTTTTTTTCTTCAAATAAGTGTCCGAACTTTTTTTTTTCATTCATCTATATACCTAACGTTACATACTTTTAGATGCTCGGGCCGTAACTGCTGTTAAAATTTTGTTAAAATTTTGTTAAAAGACACATGTCGTCTTTCTAAAATATTAATTTTTTTATTAAATTAAAAATTTAAAAGTGTTATTATATCTATAAAATCCCTAGTTTTTCTAAAAGTTATAAAAAAACCCCAAATCCCTAAAACCAATCTCAAATTCATAAACCTAGTCCTTATTTATCTTTGTTGCCGTCGATCACCACCATTGTCGTCGCCGCTAACCAATCATCGACTTATCGTCGTCGCTCCCGTAGTCACCATCGTTTGCCAAACAACAAAGCCTGATCATTTTCGCACAGAGGCAAGCCTAAATCAAACCACTTTCAATCTCAATGTTTTCTCCTTTAAATCGTGATTCGAGTTCAACAGTGGTTGTTTGTCGCGTGAGTGGTCGTTCGGTGGAGGCAAGGTTGAGGGTAGGTTCAGTTAACGACAACGACGGCGGGAGCGTGGGTATATGGATTAGATTTAGTGTTTTCAAACTTTGAATTTTTGTAAGATTTTCAATTTTTTTTAAAAAATATAATTTTAAGTTTTTATTTTAAATAAAAATTTTAAAAGTACTTGAAAGCGACATGTTTCCTTTAACAACATAATTTAACGATCGTTCCGTTCACTTAAAATGGTAATGTTTGAAATGTTAAGAACCTAAATAGATTGAAAAAAAGTTTAGACACTTATTTGAGAAAAGTGGTATAGTTATATTTATTTTCTAACTAAGCCTACAATTTAAAGAAAAAATAGGGATTTGGCTAGTAAGAAGGACACCTATAATATATATATATATATATATATATATAATATAATAGGATAAATTATGCATTTAGTACTTAAAATGATTTGTTTTAACACCTAAAATTTAATTTTTTTTTCTAAACTATACCTAATGTTTAGTTTTATTTTATTTTAGTACCTCGTTGTTAAAAATTTAACTCTTTAGTACCTAAGCTATCAATTTTGATCCGTTTTAGTACCTACTTTCATTTTTTTCAAAACTTAACGATGAGTTTTTTAACGAGTACTAAATGAAACCAAAACTAAACGTTAGGTATGATTTTGAAAAAAAAATGAAAGTTTAGGTACTAAAACAGACCAAAACTGATAGTTTAGATACTAAACGTGTAATTTACCCATATAATATTTAGGGAAAATTACTTCACATATCAATGAACTTGATTCGTTGATTCATTTATATAATTAATTTATCAATTATAACATTAATCTTAGTTTTATATTCATTTATATCACTCTATAGTGAAGTCAGTGACAAGACGATGACATGATTAATAATTGTTGATGTGACATGTCATACAAATGACATTATTTTGGTGCGATTGTTTTGATGTCTAAAACGACATTATTTTAGACACTGAACTTTAGGAATTTATATATGTTGTCATTGAAAATTTAAAAAAAGTTTTTTTTCCCATTCACTTTTTGGCCAAAGTGATAACTATATACCACCCGTCATCGATCATATTTTGCGATAAGATCAAAACCAAAACATTTAAATTTCACTTCTCTTTTTTCTTCTATTGATTCTTAACGAAATCCACATAGAATTTAGGATTAAAAAAAATCCTATTATGAGTTTATTCTGGAGCATAAAGAAAAAGAAGAAAGGAAGGATACCGTGGCATGGAGAGACTAGAGCTGTTACACCTAAAAGCATGATTCCATTTTCGAAGTCTATATAGGAAGGAGCTCTCATAAAAGCATTTATTTTTCTAACGAACGTGGATTAATGCATGTAATTGATTCTCACAAAGGAGAAGCAAATTCTGATTTTAGTGGAACCTGTAATTGGAATGCTTCACAAGTAGTCACTGCTTCTGCTGTCATTTACTGCCTCCGTTGTTTTAGTTGATGTCGATATTCCTCTTAATCATGGTTGTTTGGCTCCGATTAAAATCCATGAACGCCTCATTTTTTTCTCCGAGTCATAAATCTGCTGCAGTGGGAACCACATTTCATTCTTCTTCTTCTTAAGTTTCTTTCATGTTTTAGAACAACAGGGGTGACTGTTTTGGTTTTTATTTTATTTTTGAAATGTAAGTTAGAATTTCGTAATCAACAATGTAAGAGACTAGAACTAAACTTTTTTCAATTCGGTGATCAAAATTGAATGGACTAAAAACATAAGAAACCACTAATGTAATTTACCCTTAATTAAAATTAAAATTCATAATTTTTATTGTTAAGACAACAACATAATCAATCAAGTAACAAAAGGGTGTTTTGGGTGTTAGTCATTCTTAAACATAATTGATTCTCGAATCAATCCTCTGAGTAAGAAGATCATAATATGTTATTTTAATTTTGTGTAGCACTAAGCTTGTGAGCTTAACGTTAGAAACTTATTTTCATATGTAGGTTTCTAGAAGGATCATTGAGGAGCTTATCACATAGATTGAATTCCAGAACGTTCATGGCAAAGTACATCTTGAAGTTTATTTTAGAAGGCATGTATTGTTCATAGAAATTGTGTATTCAAGTCATGACTCTACTTTTTTGAAATACTTACTTCATATGTTAGGATGTATTTGAGAGCCCTCATAGTTTTGTAAACTTTTATACTCATTTATGATATTTTAATGATGATTTTGACATAGATTTAAAAGAAAATTTTTGGGCTAGCCACTTCAATGGTCCAGTGTAATGCTTTAGTCCTTCGATTTTCGGGTTGGATCAGATTACGATGTTACATTTATTGGTATCAAAGCATCAGGTTCAGTCGTTTCTAAGATTCGTGGGTTAAAGTTAGTAAGCTTCTTTGTATATAGATGCCTCTAGAGCGTCAAGAGTACTTTAATATCCGAAATGTCAATAATAACACACATTTCGTTTGAATTTAAAAAAAATTATGGTCGATAATTCAGCTTCTAGTAATAAGGACATATACGAGAGTCGCACCTCTTTAGCTTGCGACATCGATGAAAAATATGTCCCAGATTTAGAGTTTGAGGTTTTGGGGGATACAAGGGTCAATGAGGTGGTATTTTTTAGGGACCTAACTTAAGCACTTAGGGACATTGTTCGTGTTATCCCTAGAGCATCAATTGTTCAACCTATCGCACTAACACCGCTAGCCCCACCCGTTGTAGCACCTCAAGAGTATCGATAAAAAGGCTCCGTTGATACAGGACCATATATTTCATTGGTTCTGGGGACGATGACCCCATTATAGCCGATCAATGTCTTTAAAAGACCATCTACACACTTTGTCAACTGCACCTTACCACTGAGGGTAAGCTTCAGTGCATTATCGCCCTATCGAATGGTGATTCCATAAACTAATAAGAGACGATATAGATGATGTTTGAGCTAGAGATACTGATATGGGAGTACTTCTTTTCTGAATTCTGACATATGTATATTAGAGAGGCTCACACTGATGATTTGAAGGATCATTTCTTGTATCTAGTTCAGAGTGATCGATCAGTATATGAGTATGAGTGAGAGTTTTTGTGTTTGAGTTGATATGCACTTGAGTTGGTGACGATTGAGGACCATTGTTATAAGAGGTTTAGGGAGGGCCTTCACCTCGATATCCTCATGCTTCTAGCGACTGACCATCTTGGAGGTGATTGAAAGGGTTCAAAGTACGAGAGTTAGGGTATCAAGTGGTTTAGTGGGACAAAGTTGGAGAGCTTTATAGCTTGTGAGACATTCAAATACTTCATCCAATCCAGTTTGAGCCCCATAAGATACCCTTATCAACAATTTATGAGGCAAGCACTAGTGGATCTGTTGAAAACATTTTGATGTTTCGATATAACAAATTAAGATAAAAGAATTTTAAGATTTTACAAATGGTTTTCTAAGTATATTTGATATAATTATTCGAATATCAAAATATTACTCCAAGTCTTTCAAAGTTAAATTTCAATCCTTACTAAAATATAAATTGTGTTTTATACTTAAAATATTTTTGAAACAATTTTCACAAAGTATTTCGAACCAAAAACAAGCCAAAAATCAATTTTATGAAGGGATGTACCGATGCACTAATTTGATGCATCGATGCACACCCATTTCGAATGCATTTTATGCACCGATGCACAACCATGCATCGATACACTCATGATTTTATTGAAACATCGAAATGATTTTGTGCACTGATTCACAAGTCATGCATCGATGCACCCCGACTATTTTTGAAACATCGAAGCAAATTTGTGCACCGATGCACACCCTAGTGTACCGGTGCACACCCTAGTGTACCGATGCACACCCTAGTGTACCGATGCACTAAGTCTTCCAACAGTCGAAGAATTTGAATTTTACTCATAGTGTACCTATAGTAACCGATTTTCGCCCGGGCACGAAATATTTCTTGGCGGAAAAGCTATGTGAATAAATAAATGGTTTTTATTGAAACGTTTTGGAGTCGCCATCGATCTTTTGGGTTAGGTAGGTCAAATACCTGAAAATAATCTTTTAAAAGAGTTTTGAATAAAACATCATTTAAAAGATAAACAAGTCTGCGTATAACCAAAGATTCATTCTTTTTAGTAATAAAAAGGGATTCGTGGTCGGTTACGTTTGGGAAAGGATTAACATCCCCACAACACCCAAAATTAGTACTCGTTGATTATAAATTGTTTCTATTAGTGGAAATTTAAGAATTAAAATATAAATTTAATTTACGATCCTATTATTTCAAATTCAATCGCATAATTTTATTTAAAAGAAAATTCTAAGAATTCATTATTAAAATAATTTTATATAACCAAAACTAAAATAAATATATTTTTAGATTTTTATAAACATGATATTTATTTATTTTAAAATACCAAAATAGAACATGTAGTTACTTTAAGACAACTCTTTCTTAATAATTATAAATAAATAAATATTAT